GAAGCTTGATCCACTGCCACCTCTAGGACAGGAATGGATTTGCTTACTGGAAGGATGGAAGCATGGACTGTTCACCTACTAGGCCCCTCCCCCAGTGAGATGAGCTGGTCCTGGAGGCATGGATTCTGCACTTCTGGCTGTGGGAACTTGGCCAGAGCAGTTTCCCATGCACCTGAAAATAGGCATGAGGCTATCAGTATAGATGACGGTGAGGTCACCGAGCTCTTGGTACTTCTCACCAAGAAGTCACATTGTCAGAGGTAGGCCTTGGGATACAAAAAGGGCAGCAAGGATTCTGCCACAAGCTGTCCATTTGCCTGTGTCAAAGGCGTGTTGAAACCCTTGGGAAGAGAGCAAATCTTCAACCCCATCGTGTGGCTCCCACTCAGGTCCTCTACAGTGGGCTCTTTATTATATAATATGGTCATGGTCATGGTCATGATAGCGTGGGACCATGGAACATGCAGATGAGATATGACCAGTTTTGAAAAACATGAGCAGATGTAGCCTAGATCACTATAACCCATCTTCCTGGGTAGGAAGCTTGCTGTGGCCTTAGAACATTCCTAAGAGGGGAGTGAATAATGATTTAATCATTGCCTTAGACGCATGATGTCTTTTTGGGTTACTGAAATATTAAGTAAGAAAATCTTGCTGGATTTTCTTCCATAGAAATTGAATTAGCAACATGATTTTTTAAAATGTGTTCATGAAAATGTTCATTCAAACCTTGAAAATGAGCCCTGCCAAAACTTCCAAAATGGTTCCTAAAATCCAAGGGTTTTCATACTTGAAGAACACCTCCAGACACACACATATGCACTCCCATGATGCTCAGAATATGTTTGTGAAATGCTCCCCAGCTCCAGGAAGCAGTGGTGCAGAGGACAGTGTCTGAGAAATATGATGAATTCCTTGTGTTTCTCTGTGGCCAGCAGAGTACTATAATCCACAGTCCTTATAAAGTTGGCACTTGTTATCAGTCTGTTACAGGTGCTACTTCCCAGCTGAGGGAGCCTGGGACCCTGTTTATTGATGTTTGAATTCAGATAATTCAAGAGGAATGCCTGTCCCTTTCTGTCATCCAGGAGTCTATAAGAGTTCTGGGGTCAAGTGTCTCTCTATGTTCTGTGGAAAGGGTAGGGGGCATGACCACCTGCTAAGTGTTAGGATTGGGGCAGTAATTTGGGGAACCCTGCTATTTGGGCACTAAGTTGGGGCTAAGCAAAGTTCTGGGCAGGTGTAGTTATCAGAAGCCAAGGTTCTGGCAGGAAGGGACAGGCAGTGGTGGACAGCAAGAAAAGGTGCATAGTCCAGAGTCCAGTTGGTGAAAGTCCTGGTGCCAGATCCATGGGCAGGACTCCAGGTTTTCTCTCAGTACCTCATCCACCCTATGTTGCACTTGTGGCTGTGGCCAAATAGGGGCCAACAAACATGTGCACCATAGTTTCCAACAGAACAAATATGAGGAAGAGTATTGATTCCAAAAACCTGAATGGGGATTAAAATAAAGAAAAGGTTCAGAAAGAAAAAACAAGTCCTGTCTCAGTTCAGCTCTTTGAGGACAGTAGGGTTAGAGATAAATGAGAATCTAGTCAGCAGTGAAAACGGTCCATGCCTGGGGCCTCTAATCACCCACACCTCCACAAGGGAGGGTTTGAACCTGGTGACCCACTACTTCTATGTCATAGCTGATTGCAAGAGAAATGCCATGATTCAGAGGAACCAAACAGATCAATCCTGAGAATTTGGGATCAGATCCATGGGTCAATTGACTGATGGCACTGACACTGAGGTATCCATGTTTGAACATTTGAGGTCGGGGAGGAAAGATCTTAAAGAGGGGGAAAACTAAAGAATCAGAGGACCAGAGATGCAGAGGTGGGAACTACACAGTCCTGAGTATCATAGGGGATGGAGAATGTCAAGGACTCATCCCATCACCTTTGGTCCCTTGGACTATACCTGCACTTCCTGGCCAAACTTCTTCAGTTCCTCAATATAATCCCTATAACTCTGACTAAATTCACATTTGTGAGATTTATTGAATGAGCATCAATTATTGCCAATCCAGTGATTCTTGGAGAACCCGTGCTTTCATGTTCATGGCAGGATGGAGCCTGTAGAAGGAAGTCTGGGTACAAGGGGCTCTTGGGGTGAGTAGCAGCAGACATATAGAGACATTTTGAGTTTGAAACAAGTAAGAGGATAAGAGGAACTTGTGCCTTGTGCTTTCTAAGGGAGTTAGTGAGTTCCAAAGTCAAGGGTCCATCTCTGTCTCAATGTAAGGGAAATTTTCTGTGTAATTTACTGCCACAGTATGGTGGCATTGGGCAAAGGAAGTAGCTTGCTTCTACAGAAGGTAGACCACTTCAAGGTGTTTCATAGAATGTAGCATGTGGGTATAGAGTAATGGTGTGCACTGCATAAACAAAAACTTTCTTCCCCTCAGGGAGGACTCTATCCCAGGGCAGGAACATCCCCAAGCCATGACCAGGAAGACTACCATGACCATGAAGGACATCTTCATCTGCAGGTGGTGATGAGACAGGGACAGCATAAGCTATGATGGTGAACATAAGCTGCTTTCAGAATCATATGGATCCCTCCAGCCCACGGAGCAGGCAAGTGAGGCCTCTGAACCAGATGGAGCCAATGGGGCTGAACAGGACAAGGAGGAGACAGAAAAATCTCCGGGGAGAGGAAAGGAATTTTGGGAATAAGTAGAGATAACAAAAGATATTTTAAAAAGATTTATTTATTTGAAAAGCAGAGTAAAAAGAGGGCACATTCAGGGAGAGAGGGAGATCATCCATTTGTTGGTTCACACCTCAAAATTGTCGCTCCCCCTCTTCGTGGAGGAACGACACAGGACCCTGCGCTGTTCTTTCGTCTGCTCGGCCCTCCCCGGGTTTGCTGCTGGTTCTTCCCGGGTTGGCTACTATCCCTTCCACCTCCGTGGAAGGGCAGTTCCCCCTGGCCACATTCCCCACTTCCGCAGGGGAGCGGCACACCGCCGGCCGGCTTTTCTCGGGGGCTGCACAGGTATTCCTTCAGCTAGATGTTCCCCATAGATGTTCCTGGTGCATGCCGTCTCTCTCCTTCTTTATAGTCCTCCTCCGCCAATCCCAACTCGGCTGCCCACACGCCGAGTACGCTGCTCTCCTCCAATCAGGAGCAAGTCCTACAGTTTATTAGTTGAACTGGAGGCAGCTGTGCGGAAGCTGTTTACTTCTCTCCCAGCGCCATATTGTGGGAGAGCAGATGCATAGAATAAGTCTTAATTCGAGTAACTTAGTCTAGTCCGGATTGCTCCCCACAAAAATAGCCTAGGCTGGGCCAGGTCAAAGCCAGGAGGCAAGAGCTCCATCTGGGTGGTCTCCCACATGAGTGGTAGGAACCAAAGTACTTGGTTCATTATCCATTGCCTTCCAGAGCATATTAGCATAAAGGTGGATGGGAAGTGTTGATGCCAGAGCTGGAATCTGCCCTGCCAAGTGATAGCTTAACCTATAGCCCTACAATCCCCACACCTTAAAAGTATTTTACAGGTACTGAAATTGTGGCATAGTGTCTTAAGCCATTGCCTGTTAAACTGGCACTCCATATGGATGCTGGTTCAAGCCCTGGCTGCTCCACTTCCAATCCAGATTTCTGGTGATGCTCCTGGTAATTGGGGAATTGCACCAAGTGGGAGACCTGGAAGTAGCCCCTTGCTCCTGGCTTCAGCCTGGCCCAGCCCTGGCCATTGTGGCCATTTGGTGAGTGAACCAGTGGATAGAAGAACTCCCTCACTCTCTGTGTGTGTCTCTGTAACTCTTCATGTAAATAAAATAAATCTTTAAAAATAGAGTGTCCTACAGAAGTTTTGCAGAGACAAGCAGAATAATCTTTCACCTCTCTATGAAAATTCTAGTATAATTTCTGGACTGTGCTTTTGGAATTTTACTTCTCTAGTGAAAAGTGTCTTTGGGGAAGTAGGGACCATTGGATTGGGAATGTAGGGACCATTGGAGTGGGAGATGTTTCAAAATGAGGGTGTGAGAGGCCCTAAGAGGTACATAGACTGTACTGCTTACACATAATGTTCATTTCCTTTCTTTGGCCCTGGGACCACCTCTCTGACCAGGGGCCCTGTGCCCTCCAAGGGCTGCCTTGACAAACTCAGGATACACTCCTTCTTCCCAGACATCTAAGGGAGAACTGAAACCACAGGAGTGTCCCTGAACTGCTCCCTGAAAACCTGACCCGGAACCACCCCTAGGGATCAGTGTCCAGATGATGCATACCTGCTAACTGGAAATAAAGAAGGCCAGTAGGTTCCTTGAGCTTCGGTTTAGCTGATTCGTGATACAGTCAGGCCTTTGGACTTAGATGGCAGGGCCTCATAGGATATCAGATTTTCAGGCCTTGTTCCCACTCCTGTTCCTTAGACCTAGCAGCTATTATGCATGAGATTAAATTAGAGGCAGTGAGAGGATAGATTCTATGTGAAGTCATTAGGAAAGAGGCTATTATTTTGGTTCTTTCTGGAAATCCTTTTCAAGAACTTTGTCCTCTTCTTGTTAGCAAACAAAAAACTCATAATACTCAATAATGGAGCAATGGATCACAAACAAGGGTGAATTTACATGTGAGAATTTAATGGGTAGAAAATGAAATAATTCCCATTTGAATAAAATTTACCTTCATTGCTAGATCCTATGAAACAAGGATTGTGTCAGAAAATTAGGGTTGGATAGTTATTTTCCCTCCATCATAGGGACTTTTAAATCTGGTTGAACAGGAATGCTGATCAGGAGCTTAAAATGAAAATATCCCCTATCTACCTACCTCCAAGTCTCTGGGACCAGGGAACCAAAAATTACATGACCCTGATTATTTGTTCCATGAAAGAATGTATGGAAAAGTGAGTGGGAGGAGACCAGTATCCAGAGGCAGCCACTGGAGAGGTCCACATGGCAAGGATCCAAGGCTCCCCACCAGTAGTCGGCACCTACCTGCCATCCATGAGGGTGTTTCACCTGGAGGTGGCTCCTCCAGCCTCAGTCTGGCATTCAGAAGACATCAGCCACAGCTGACACTGACTGCAGTCTCACCACAGAGACCATCACATGGCAGTCCCCAGCCAAGATGCTTCCATGGAGACTGTGAGGGGATAAAATATGTTATTACTGGTCAAGTTTTAGGGTGTTGTGCTACACAGCACTAGACTGGGATGGCTGTTGAGTAGGCAACTCCTACATCATCTGCCGATGTTCCCCACTTTAACATATTTGCTTTTCTTGTGGGATGCCCTCCTCTTGTGCATGCCCTGTAGAGAGTGATGCACCTCTAGGGAAAGATGGCCTGAGTGATATGTGTCACTCAAAGATGTTGGTCCCAGAGTCCCCAGAATCTATCCTGCTTACCTCCTTTGTGCCCCCCCTCACTCTATGAGAAACCAGCCGAACTGCTGTGATCTGCTCTGTGACAAAGCCTTAGTGGTCCACTGCAGACTGAGGCCTTATGTCAGAAGCTAGCTATGCACTGAAGTTTGTGGTCCCTAACTGTATAAGGAATCTGGCCAATAACCATGTGGCTGAGCCTGACAGTAGAGTGGATTATCCCTCAGTGCAATCTTGAATTGATCATAGCTCCAAAAGGTACCTGGCTTCCAGGCTTAAGAAAAATCCTGAACCAGAGCTCACATTGGATTCCTGCTTGGAACAACAGTATCCTACCTGAAACCCCCACAAATTACATGGAACCCAAACATCATGCCTGAATGAAGCAGGTGGGACCCATAGTCCTCCTCTGTCTAGGTTCTGAGGGTCTGTTTCCCACAAAATGTTTGTTTCATCATATGAAGGAATGATTTAATCCTTGTCTATCATTCAGCCCAATTTTCTGCTGCAGTAAAACATTTCAGCAACTGCCAATTCCCATATAGATAAAATAGAGGAAAAAGAGAGAAGGTCCACAGTCTCATTCAGTGTCTTGGAAATCAAGCATACTGGAACTGTTTCTTAAAGAGAGAATGCTCCATATTCTGCTAAGAGGTTTTTCTTGACTTGTTAACATTTTTGTCACCCCACCAACAGGCCTGATTATAAATGATTCGTTTTCCAGTTTAGTGGTTTTACTTAATCTTTCCTTTGCTTCCTTCCCCACAACTGTGTGTTTGATGGAGAGAGAGAGAGAGAGAGAGAGAGAGAGAGAGAGAAAGGGAGAGACAGAGACAGAGACAGAGAGGAATCTGCTCCTGAGACAGAGAGGAATCTGCTCCTGGTTGAAGCTCCAAAATTTTCTCAATAAACCAAAAGGAGACTTCATTCTGTTCCAGCAATGGGCCACCTTCCTGGACCAAATTATATATGATTTGATTTAATAAAGAGGAACAGCAGTGGCCAAGGGTTTGTCTTTTGGGGGAGACTCCTAACTGTGGGGTTTGCCAACCCTAGTGGGTGCCTGTGCTTTATCAAGACTTCCCCCCACCTCCATCCCAGTGTCCACCCCTGTCCTGCAGCCCAGCTGATGCTACATAGAACACACATGCATCAGTGTGATGGAGTCCATTACTCAGACAACAAACCAAAGGGACACAATCCTAGTGGCCCTTGGCTAATCTCTTAGGATGTGGTAGCTCTTTTAAATAATTCACTTCTGGTTCAATTTAAATTATTTTTAAAGTCAGAATAAGCAGCTTGAACTGGTTAGCCTGGTGTTCCTCTAAGCCTATGTCACCTCTCAGTGTGGGAGTGAATCTGTTTCAACCAACAGTAACCAAAGGAGAGGATAGGAGATGAGTCTTCTGCATTTTCAGTTTCCCTCTCCCGTGAAAATTCAGTCCTGCAGGTGAGCTATGGTGAGCACAGTTGAGGCCCAAGTGTCTTGGCTGTCATGCCTGATATACAGCATCTATTTTATGGGTAGTGACTCAAAGGAAGATATCTCCAGTCTCTTGGCCACACTCAGTAAGAATATAGCCTTTCTCAGTTGGAACTAGACAGGTTGATAAATGAATGACCTGAGATACAGCAAGACTTGTATGGGAGGTGGGGGAAAAGCAGCCAGAGTGAAGCTTCTGTGAGATGAGCCTGAGCTTAGGAGGAGGTAAAGTTGTAGCCTACATTCCTCAGACTCTCGCTGTCCACCCTTTTGTAGGTTTTTTTGAAAGCATGTTTCTTCATGTGTTTTATGCTTTTAGAACAGTTTGTGGAGACTTTAACTGTCTAATTTTTAAGTTGTTTTTATTGCCAGATTTCTGTTTCACTGGAGCATGATCCAGGGGCTGCTAGTGATGTCATCCCAGAGGTAGAGACTGCATTTGTTCATTCAGTGGTGCAGCTGTCTGTACATCATGACCTGACCTCCTAGGTGGTAAGTTTCAAGCCATGCAGTACAGTGCCATTGCATGTATTATTTTATGAACCCAGAATAGGAACATTTTGGTTTTCAAATGAGATAGTTCTATCTAAGCTCTGTATCTATCCATCCATCCATCCATCCATCTATGCTATATCTATCCATCCTTCTTCCTATGTACCTACCTATCTATCCTCTATCTTTCATTGTTCAGAAATGCAGGTTTCTTGTTTAGCTTGCTTTTGGTTTTATGGTTTGGAGAAAGACCTGACTTGTGCAATTCCTGCCTTTTGGAATTTAAGAAAAGTTACATATTTGTATACAAAGGTGCAGTAAGTGTTTGAAATCTTTCACTAATATCTTGAGAAAAAGGCATTCTCTGTTTTGGGGGCACAGGATCCAGTTGCACCTGTTAATTTCTTCTCTTTCGTTGTTTCTATCATTTAGGTCTATGAGAGACAATTCCCAACAGGAAGTGCTAGGAACAGGAAGTGCTAGAAGAGAAACCACAGAACTGATTTGGAGGCAACATTGTAGAGCAATTGTATCTGGTTTGTGGTGATTTCCCTAGAACTTACCCATGCAGACCAGAATATGCTTCCTAAAGTATTTTTTCTTCAGAGGGACCTTGGCTGTTTTCCAGTTCTTCTTGCTGTTCAAGTAAGGAAAATTATTTGCCCAAGATCACATGGATTGGACTATGATAAGGTACAGAAAAATTAAGACACCCCATTATTGCAAAATAATCTGGGCTTGACCAAAGTTACTCCATTTTTTGGACCAAGCCCCATGTTGTGGGCTTTGGTTTAGGTTCCAGAAAGTGCTTTTGTCTGGGTCTGTTCCAGGAAATATTTTTCTCACCTCAGACTTGGATCTCTATTAACTGCTGCCTTCTGCTTCTGTAAACATGCTTGCTGCTTTCTTAAGATAATGACTAAAGAAATTGTATGAAATAGTTTAAAATATTCAGACATTGAGCGACTGTTACTTCTCACTCTGTAAAATGCTTACAGCTGGATTGGATAAGAAAATGAGGATAAGATTTAGAGCAACATGATTGGCTAGCAGGACCTGTGCTTAGGCCCTGGAAATAAGCCAAACAGAATATGAGTTGAAAACTTAAAAACCCTTGCCCTCCTCACTGTAACATGGCAGTCTCCAAGGTTCCAATGAGATCTATCATTGCCAGACATGGCTTTTAATACAGATTCTTCTTTTCTATCTTTGTGTCAGCATGATCTCTTTCACTTTCCATTACAACAGCACCCAATGAATCAAGGAAGAGCATGACGTCCCGGTTGTGGCCCTGCTTTAGGTGTGTTAGAATTTGTGTTTGTCTCCCATGCTGTCTCTGTGACAGTGCCCTTGAAATGAGGTGGACATACATTCATTTGTAGAGACATTATTGTTTGCAAGGCACCTCCCAGGTCTCACCTAATTTGACCTTCCCAGTTGATTGCCATTAAGGGGATCCTGTGGGTGAAGCAGCCAAGGCTCTGAAATGGGTGGTTCTGTCATCCCTGGACTTTTGCCTCCTGAGTCCATGTGTCTCTCCAAAGGGCTTAGGGGTTCAGGCCCTCATTTGCCCAGTGCCAGTGTTCCCATTCTCATTTCCTGAGTTTCTCTTTTGGGACACACTTGTACCACCCTGCAAGGCTTTTCCTTCCTATATTGGAACAGTGTTCCAGATAGTTGTCTGGGTGTTGTGATTGAAACTGAGAAGCCTAGAAAATCAAGTCATGATTTTATATGTCACTCTGCTCTGCACCTTCCATAGCATGTTATAAACAACTGGGTGTTCACATGAAGCTGTTCTTTGCTTTTCCTTTGGGAAATCTTGGTCGTCACCACCATCAGTGTCCTTCCTGTGTGTGAGCCTGTAAGCTCCCTTCTCCCTGGAAATGCTACTTGGCCAGACTCTCAGGGTCTCCTCTGGGTGAAGTGACCCCACTGAAATGGTTTCCAGACCTGTCAGAGACTCAGAGAAGCAGGAAGAGAGAGAAAGAGAGAGAGAGAGAGAGAGAGAGATCTTCCATCTGTTGGATCACTCTCTCAAATGCCTGACATAGTTGGTGCTGGGCTAGGCTTAAGGGGCCAGGAACACCACACTGGTTTCTCATTTGGTTGGCATGGAACCAATCACTGGAGAAATCACTGTTGCCTTCTAGGATATGCATTAGCAGGAAGCTGGGTTCAGAAGCATAGCTGGGACTTGAACTCAAGCACTATGACATGGGTATAGATATCCTCAATGACATTTTAACTGCTGTGCCAAATGTCCATTCACTTTTGTTTTCAATGTTTCTTCCAATGATTATTACTTGATGTCTTTTAAATTTTGCACCCTGGGCCTGTGCCTTGATGGAAACCCAATGCTCCCAGACCATGCAGCTCTAGAACCCATTGCAGATGGTGCTTGGTTGCTGGGGTAAGCCACTAGAGTTTAGAGGTTCCAAAAGAATGGTTTAGGGAACCAAGGAGGCTTGTGGTGTATGCTGGGGACAGGCTGGCTACATGACAGGGAAATCGACAATGAGATGTCCCTGTCTGAATGTTAATTTCCCTGTGTCCTGCCACTATCTATTTTGAGAAGTTCTTGGCCATTGATAAAACATAGTTTACAGATTCAAAAGGCTTCAGCAGCCTAGGCATCTCATGTCAAGAGCCTTGGGTGATCACTGATGGCATACATAAGAGTGTTAATTGTTGGGATCAGTGCTGTGGTGTGGTGGGTATAGCCACTGCCTGCAGTAACAGCATCCCATATGGGTGCTGGGTTAGGTCCCGGCTACTCCATTTCC